CTACTCCCCTCCCCTGCTGTTCCGCTGCACACACACACACCCCCAGTGCCTTGCCTCGGCATGGCGAGACCAACGATTTAAAAGATGCTCAAAATTCATTATTTCCAAATTAATTGCCCTTTGGCTTACACAGATGATAACTGTGTAAAATGTGCCTATTTAATTATATCTTTGAACAATTATGGCCCAATATTATTTTGTCAAATTTTGTTTTAATATGTATGTAAAGAATAATTGTCGCAATTATTCTGAGGGGATCTAAAATTAAATTTGTTCTACTTGAGCCCAGGTGATACAGTAGGTTACATATTGAACTGCTAACCAGAAGATCAGTGGTTCAAATCCACCTTTGGCTCCACAGGAAAAACGAGGAAGCTGTCAACTCCTGTGAACATTTAAAGTCTTGGAAACCCAAAGGGGCAGTTCTCTGCTGTCCTAAAGGATTGAATCCATGATATTGAGTTGAACCTGAGCCCATGAAATTTTCAATTAAAGTTCTTTTAACACCATGGATTTGACTAATGCATAATACTAACTTTTGATCAATAGTCTTATAGTTTCCGCAGAATCCAAAACCAAACTCATTAATATGACTAATTTAGGAGATAGAATGATGGCATTCACCCTGGTAGTCAAAATCAGTTCTGTTTCACATATATAGGAAACTGGAAAACAGTTGAAATCTTCCCAGTGTCTTAGATTGTCCTTATTGTCACCGTGTAATACACTTTATTATTAAAAATGAAAATTAAGATGTGCTGTTAGCTTATTTACTATTTTGTAGGAATTTTGTGTTAGGAAGGCCTAAAGTTTTACACGTTTCCTTATTTATGTTTGAAAGGTTATGATATTTTTACTTTCTTTGTTTTAGTCTATTTAAACTCTCTTTTTCTATAGGTATAATCACAAATCTTGTATACAGTAGAGTACTAGGGATTAGGATTAGAAAATGTCCTTAAATTTTTCATTATGGTCTATGAGGCAAGTCATGGCAGATCACAATCCATGTGCTGGATCTCTTAACAGAGTTGGAGATGAGTGCTATGGGGAGATAGCACATAGATCTTTGGCACAGAGTTGGGGCATAGAGACCTCTCTTAAAGGTTGGTGCTAAACTCCAGACAGGAGAATACCCAGGGGGCAGTACAAGATAAGTTCTTCTTTTCTCTTCAACTTCACCTACT